AAAAAAAAAAAAAAAAAAAAAAAAAAAAAAAAAAGGTCATGAAGAACCTAGGGGCAAGACAGGAATAAAGACACAGACCTACTAGAGAATGGACTTGAGGATACAGGGAGGGGGAAGGGTAAGCTGGGACCAAGTGAGTGGCATGGACATATATACACTATCAAACGTAAAACAGATAGCTAGTGGGAAGCAGCCGCATAGCACAGGGAGATTAGCTCGGGGCTTTGTTACCACCTAGAAGGGTGGGATAGGGAGGGTGGGAGGGAGCCGCAAGAGGGAAGAGATGTGGGGATATATGTATATGTATAGCTGATTCACTTTGTTATACAGCAGAAAGTAACACACCATTGTAAAGCAATTATACTCCAATAAAGATGTTAAAAGAAAAGAGACAACAGGCGCAAAATGGAGTCATTTATGCTAAGCCCCACCAGGACTTAAAGCTAACCTAATTACAGTTCAAACCTTCTCCAAGAATGTGACCTATAACCAGCCAACCTGGAATTTCCTGAACAGCACTTGGAAATCCACTGGTAGACCCCTTCCACTCCCCTTAGGAGGGCAACCTAGCCTAAAACAATGCATTCTTTGCCATTAATTTCCTCTTTCCCCTGCTTCTTCTCTGCCTTGAAAAACCTTTCCTTTCCTGCAGCCTGAAGGAGCTCCTTTCTATTGCTAGATGGGATGCTGCCCAATTCACAAACAGTTTAATAAAGACAATTAGATCTTCAAATTGAGTCAGTTGAACTTGTTACTTAACACGAGTAAATTCTGTCCTGGCCTTCAATCGACTTCCCTCCTCCACTGTGCAAGAAGCTAATTTCGCCTGAATTTGCACATTCATTTCAACATTCCTTTACTCCATATAAATTTGTGCTGTTTTGATATCTCCTTCAAATCTGTTCTAACATCTGCCTAGTTCTCTCCCTGATTAATGAGTTAAGTAAAATTTTTAACATCTGTTCATTTTTACATCTGTATGAGTCATGATTTTACCCTTTTTTGAAACTCATGTTAATTATTTATGATTGATAGAAATTCTGCCCTTTAAAATGACAGCCATCTGTAAAATGTTTTGTGTAACAACATTTAACAAGAAAGTATGTCAGTAAGGAAATAAGCAGTACAATGATTCATTTCAAAGTGCTGAAAGTTGAATTTCTGTGCCACCATCCTCTCCATATTCATTTTTTAAGCAGGAAAACAAAAATCCCACTTCAGTTACTCATCTTCCAGAAGTGGGTTCTGAAGGTGCTGCAGGGAACCACGCACCCTCTGCCCCCAGGTCTTCTCATGGCTGGTTCCTTCCTGTTATTCAGATATCAGCTCAAAAAGCACCAACTCAAGACCTGCCTCGCTGACCTCAGCCCAACCTCTCTCATTGTTTTGTCTGCTCTATACCACTTATTACCATCCAAAATATCTTGTGCCTATATTTGTGGACCTGTTTGTCTTTGCCTATCTTCCCTCTCTAGGATATAAATGCAAGGAGGTTGTTTTAGTCACTGCTATGCCCCCAGGGCCTTTGGTTGTATCTAGAACATACTACAACCCCGTAAGTATTGTTGAGTGGCCGGATGCGTTGGGGGTATAGAGCGCTGCTCTGTGAGACGCTCAGAAACAGAATTCCTTATGCCTGGGACCTGAAAGCATCTCTCCTCCAGGGAGGTGCAGAAAGGAGACAAGCTCTTGGAAAAGGGGTTAGCTGGAGAGCTCATTTTGTGATGGTTAATTTTCTAAGGCAACTTGAATGGGCTAAGCGATGTCTACATAGCTGGTACAACATTATTTTTGGGTCTGTGAGGGTGTTTCTGGAAGAGATTAGCCTTTGAATTGGTGAACTGAGTAAAGCAGATGGCCTTCCCCAATGTAGGTGGGCATCAGCCAATCCGCTGGGGGCCAGGATAGAACAAAAAGGCAGAGGAAGGGGGAACGTGTGATCTCTTCTCTATCTGAGCTGGGACATCTATCTTCTCCTCTCTTGTGCTTCTGGTTACCGGGCTGTCGGGTTTCAACTGAACTGCACCACCGGCTTTCCTGGTTCTGCAGCTTGCAGACAGCAGACCATGGAACATCTCGGCTCTGATAATCACGTGAGCCAATTCCCATGACAAATCAATCTCTCTTCTCTCTCTCTCTCTCTCTCTCCCCCATCTCGATATATCTCTTTCTATCTTCTTTCTCTGAAGAACCCTAATACTAACACAGAATTGCTCTGCCCTTAAGTTTCTAGTGAATGAAGAGGTCAAATACGAATGCTAGGAGTTCACAAACCTCTCTCATGAAAATTTTTCACAAGTAAATTGCTTAATACCTTCCATATCAGTCCAGCTCCAAATTTTGTCAGTGTTAGTTCCTGAGCATCTCTTGGATTTATCCTGTTTCACCTCCACTGCCTGCCAAGTTAGCTGTCATGTGCTGCCTGGTGTCTACAGACACATTTCTCCCCCTACTTCCTCCCCCTACCTGCCCCCCTGCAATCAAATCTCTACCTAGAATTCACTCAGCTAATATTTATGGAGCTCTAACTACACACCAGACACTCTTCTAGGTGTTGGGAATACACACTGAGCAGACCCATAGGGTTCCCGGCTGTGGAAGAGCTGCGGAGGGAGGGCCGACTTAAAACAAGGAGACCAGTAACTAAGATCATCTCATACTGGGATAAGTGGTCTGGGGAAGAAACTGGTTGGGGAAGGGGGTGGGGTGAGGCCCAACATTAATGAGGATGCTCATAGAAAGTTCTTGAAGAGGGTGACATCCAAGTGCTGCAGAATGGAGGCCGCCACGAGAATACCTGGGTTGAGGGGAGAAGGGAGTTTCTAAGCTGGGAATGCGGTGAGAGCAAGGCCGAGAGCGGGAGGAATGAGGACAGAATGCAGGCACAGAACAGACACCATGGTGGCGGAGAAGATGGACTTTGTTTTGTTGTTTTTGTTTTAAATAGCAATGCTATTTTATTTTTTTAATTAATTAATTTACTTTTTTAAACATCTTTATTGCAGTATAATTGCTTTACAATGGTGTGTTAGTTTCTGCTTTATAACAAAGTGAATCAGCTATACGTATACATATATCCCCATATCCCCTCCCTCTTGCGTCTCCCTCCCTCCCACCCGAGAAGATGGACTCTATTCTAAGAACAAAAGGAAATTTTTAGCTCAGCAATGCCCACTCCCTCCCTCATCACCCCGTCCCTTCAACCATTAGGTGTTTCAGTGTTACCTCTCACCTGTTCTCTTAATTTCCACTCCCACCAGTTCTCTCGGAGTACAGCTCATCTTTTGTTACCAAGAAATGGGCTGAGAACAGATACCGGTCCCCTTGCCACAGAAACAGCCACCTCCGCATCTCAGCTGGCCACACTGGCACCTGGGTGGATGCACTTGCAAGCCCAGCTCAGAGGGAGAAACAGAAGTGGGTGCTCGGCACCTCCAAACACAGTGAACTCAACCCTTCTAAGCGTTTTACTAACCTGTTCACGTGAAATTAAGACCCCCTCCTCTCCAGAATACCAGTGCTACCATGTGTTCCACAAAGAATGACCAAGAGAGCAAGTGGAATCTCAGCTAGGACTTCTCACACGTCTGGGGGTCAGCTGTTCTCTCCATTCCCGCTGCCGCCACATTAACTGAGACGATCACCACTTCAAGCCTGAATTCTGAAACAGTCTCCCAAGAATGCCTTCGTAGTACCAGCTGTGCTTAAGCGGCTCTCAAACTTTAGGGTGCATTCAACTCACCAGAGGGCTTGTTAAAACAATACCTCTAGGCCACACCACCAGAGTTTCTGACTCCGTAGGCCTGGGATGGGCTCAGCAAGCTCCCAGATAATACTAATTTTTCTGGACACCACCCTCAGTCTATTCTGCCTAAAACAGAGGTTCAATCACACTGCCCCCTT